TGAGGCAGACAAAGTTGAGGCGTTTGGTGAAGCGTTCTTGATAAAAGGCCTCCTCGCCCACGTCCACCATAAGCTCAAAAGCCTTAAAGAAGTGGCTCTTCAGCCTATCCTCAGCATTCTGTTCAATGCGGATAACCTCATCCGCACTAGGGGCCTGAGGTGTTTGCAGCTGTAGAGTCAAGTCCTCAACGAACTTCTTTAAACTCTCCACCTCGGCCTTGAGAACGTCTGCCTCGTCCAAGGCCTCCTTCAAGTGTTTTTGGGCTAAGGCCACTTCACTTCTAAGCTTTTCGGAGGCCTCGAATCCTTCCTTCCAGCGCTGGCCGTCCAGGAGGGCCTGATCCCTCTCTAGTCTCATGGCGTCTCTGGCCACGGACTCTTGCTTCAGGGCCTGGCCCAGCTTCACCAAATCTTCAGCTTGCCGCGCCGCCTTGTCGGACAACGCGTTGATTTGGGTTTCAAAGTATTGGCGCTGGACGACCGTTTCCCTAGTAATGGCATCCTGGGTCTTCTGAATCTGGTCCCAGGCATGCTTCAGCCTTTCATTCTCCTTGTCCTTCCATTCAAGGAAGGCATTCAACCGCAGGAAGAGCTGCGTACAGGGAAAACGTGTTAGCAAAATAAGAATGAAAAGTTGACTAAGTATGACAGTTGAAAGAGAAATTACCTCAGCACTGCAGTTGATCATTGGGCCAAGGAAGCCCTCATAGATCTCCCGCAGCTTGTCTCGCTGCTCAGCGGGGACCGCCCTGGCCATGGCCTCCCTCATGGCCTTCCTGTCTGCGCCCGTAAGGGATTGGCCGGGCAGCTTCATATGCAGCTCCTCTGCAATGTCTGTGCGCGGGCGCAAAAATAAAAGTTTAGCTCAGGTTCAATTGGACTTATAAAGAGCGAAATAAAGATTCAAAGTTATTTGGACTGACCGTCAGAGAAGCTTGGAGGGTTAGGAAGCTTGAAGGTGAATGACGGGGGCGGCGTAGGCTCGTCACCCTCCTCCCCCGTCCGGCCAGGCTGGTCGCCGACCGATTGAAAGGCTTCAAGCCAATCAGATTCGTGGACTCTTTGCACGGGCGGAGTCACTTCTGGCCCAGTCGGTTTTGTCGAGGTCGACTTACCCCTATTGTCCGATTTCTCGGACTTATCATGAACCTGCGTGGCGGCCGGATCCATGGACTTGGAGGCCCCGCTATCACTCACTCGGGGTTGTTCTCCTTTGGACTGCTTGGAGACAGTCCGCGATGTGGTCTTAGCCGCAGTGGTGGAAGTGGTCTTAGATGCAGCCGTCTTCTTTTTCTTGGACGCCCTACCGTCCTTGTCCGTCTTGAAGGCAGGGGACAACTGCTTCCGTTTGGACCTAGGGGTCGGAGTTGACAGCTGAAGAGGCAAAAGTTAGCGAAAAGTGAGCAAGATAATACAATTGGTTGGCCGTGTCTAGTTAGGAAGAATATCTCTTCCGTAATTCCAACACGGACGCAGTAATACGTCCGTGGGAACCCAGAAGGGAGGACCTTCCAAGCATCCCAGCACAGACGAAAAGAAGAAATGGAGGTGAATATAATTGCCTCTTTAGATTGCTCGTACAGCTTCCGACGAGCCTTTTAGCGGGCCAAGTCAATTTCTGACATATTCACTTCCCCTTTCTGCTCTGAGTCCAGCATCTTGTACGCCTCAGCTGTAAAAGAAAAGGAAGAAGTGTTAGAAAACCCTTCAATTTCAAATAACCTATGTATGTGCAAAAATATATGTCCATGCGTCCACCTTGGGGCAAGTTCTTGTACAGGCCATAGGCGGACATGAATGTGGGATCCCGTAGCCAACTGGATAAGGGGACCTAGTTGCTTGGAACGCGCTCAGTTTTGCCGTTTCTCTTCACCCTCTTGAATTTGAAGTATTCAAGCTGGTGCTCTTGGCTGGTGTGGACGGGTGGCTTATCAGGCTTGAGGTCCCCGCGTCCAAGCTGAATTGGTTCAGCATTGAACCGATTCATCCGCAGGTTAAATTCAACATCTTTGGTCTTGATGCGGTAGAATCGGTGCTTCAAGTCACGCCATTTGGAGACGCGGTCAACCACCATCATGTAGTCCCTATTGGAACTCAGAATAAGCCAGCCGTCCGTGTCGGTGTCCAACTTGGTTAGTGAGTGCATCTCACATAAAACTGCAAAGTCCGGCTTGAAGCCTTTTTAGATGCGCGTCACCAAATACCCAAAAATGTTTAACCAGCTGTTCGGCATCAGCTGGAAGAGAGAAATGTCGTATTCGTCCAGGATGGTGCGGACGAAGGGGTGGAGAGGGAAGCGCAGTCCGACGTCTAGAGCCGCCCTGTAAACACTAAAGGACCTTTGGCGCGGCCTCTCTCCCTCCCAAGCAGCCACAACATGTCACTTCCTTGGGGGCTGAATTTCAAATCCCTCCCCAAGGTGGAGAAAGGCCTTGTACTCCTCAAAATTGTCATTTAGGTAGCCCAAGGCAGTGCTACCCACCGTACAGGCGTACGGATCCTTAAAGTTATCAACGTTGGCAACGTCTTCCTCGGCCGCCGCCTCGCCCTCGGCCGCTTTCTCGACCTCTCCCTCCTCTTGTTGAGGAGCACTCCCAAACTCAGAAGACAACACTCTGTCCGGATCGGCTGCCTCCGCTGAGCTGCGGCTCCTAGAGCTACGGTCGCCCCAGGAAGAGGTAATGTCTTCATGAATTAGGGGCCTTTTTCCTTTGTCTTTGGCATCGGTCGTCTGACTCCCTGTAGGAACAGCTCTGCGAGGAGGCAGGTCGGACGGTTCATTGATTGATACCTCAGTCCTTGGCCTGTCCGACCTGCCATATCGGAGATAGAGTTCGGAAGAAGTGGGGACGGACGGATCAGCGTCCGCCCGAGAAGAGAAAGGAGGTCCTTCACAGAGTAGCAACTCGGCCCCATCCATGACCAAGCTGGCATATTGGGGGAACATTAATCCCGGAGTTCGCCCGGACGTTCCCCCCGCAGTAGAAGCGCCTTGAGTTCTTTGATGCTCCTCAAAAGAAGAAGTTACTTCCACGGCTAAGCAGTGAGTTCCCGTGGAAGCGTTCGTAGGAGTAGTAGAAGGCGTTTCTAAGTTAGGGTTGTTAGGGTCATAAGGAGGCCTAGGGTGCACCAGACTACCGTCTGGATTTCTGGCCGCATGACGATCATGCGTCTGCATTGTTCTTGCCATGTTCGACTGCAGGGACAGAGAAGAATAGGTGGAAGTGAGTTGGTACGCACTAGAAATGGACCCACTCCATGAAGGAGACAACTCGTCTCCGTCCACTCTAGACTCCTCAGTCCCAGGCGAACGGCCGGCCTCATGAGGAGAAACGGACGAAGCCTAGTGTTGAGCTAGATTAAAAAATGAAGAGTAAAAGAAATTAAAATGCAAGGAAAAGAAAACAGGCGGCCTACCTCTGTACTTGTAGAAAACTTGAAAAAGTCTTGAAGGTTGACCGGAAAAATCAAGGAATGTGCCCGGAAAACTCAAAGGCACGGCGGAGATACTGAAGATTCAAAGGAAAAGGCACTTTCTCTCTCTAAAAGCTCTGACTTCTCTCTAGAAAATAAAAGATCCAAAGTGTGAAAATGATGCTAAAGCATTTGTATATATAAACAAAATTTATTGGGGTAGGATGGTAACTTCATCTTTCTCGCCTAAAGAAGTTGAACGGTTATAATTTGAAAATTTAACCTAGAATTTGAAGGGTTAAAGGACAACGCCGTTAGAATAGGCGGAAAAGAAGACAACCTAATAAACGACACGTCCAAAAATAAGCTGACAAGAAGACGAAGCTAAAGCTCCCTCCAAAATGGATAGGCGGCCGATTTTCCCAACAGTGAGACGGTCTACTGTTGTCCGCTCCATCCACAAAGATGGGCGGACGCTTGAAATTTTTAGGCGGGCAAAAGCTGCCTGTCAAAACCCTAATGCACTCGTACGCCCCAAGGCTATTTGAGGTCAGAGGAGTCGGCCTGTAAGCGTACGAGCCACCCCCTCTGAGGGGCAAATGTTGAGGGTAAAAATACCCCGTATACGTGGACCAGTCCCATAGCGACACGTGGCCCAGTTATAGGGTGACACATGTCACTATGGGAAGATGCCACGCATCCAGCTTAAGAGCACTCAAAGGCTCAGGCCAATCTCGTAGCGACACGTGGCCCAGTTAGAGGGTGACACGTGTCGTTACAGGAAGATGCCACGTGTTTAGGGCATATATGACCCCTTAAATCAGCACGCAAGAGAGGCCTAATAACATCAGGGCCCAAATCCCGAGAGATATCAATGAAAGCGTAAAACGGCGCCCCCAAAGCAACACGTGGCATTCACTGATTGCGCAGCCAGCCATGTCACGCAATTTTAGGGTACAAACCCTAGAAAGGGGCACGAGTTCCACCCTTATAAATACCCCAATCATTTATGATGGGAGGGGTGGATTAAGACATTACAACAAAAAGAGCATTAATTAATAGCTCCAACTTCTCTCTACTTTCTCTCTCTAGCCTTTTCTGTTTCCGATCACTAACTTGATCGTCGGAGGCGAATATTCCGACAACCGGAATATTCGTTGTTTTGCAGGTCGGACCGTCTCGTTGCCAGGAGAGCGTGACCAATATCCAGGGAAATCCAAAAAACACCCGAAACAACTAACATGTGCACCTCACGTGACCAATTAACTTTACTTTTCTTTTATTTTTCCTCCCTTTCGCTCCATACATTCCCCTCTTCGTCAATCCTCTTCATCATACTTTTGTTTTTATAGCCTTTTATATAATTGCACGTAAACGTAAGTGACGAAGGGGGAATGAATGAAGGAAAAAGGGGGGAAAATAATAGAAAAGTGGGTTTAAGTAGGTCACATGAGGTGCACATGCTAATCAAATCCAGAAATGTCAATCGATAGTCTAAATCCGAAAAGTGGTGGGATTCAACAAAAAAAATTTAAAACATGTGTGGTTCGAAAAAAATAATTTAGAAGATGGTTTTCAACAAAATTTGGTTTTTATAAGATAGTTTTTAACAAATTTTCCTTTTTATTTTTATTTTGTAATAACAGTTAGCTTTTTTTTCAAACCTAGTAGCAGACGTACCTTCGCTCCCTTTGGGACAGTGTAGCCAGCGTAGGAGATGTCGGAGATGGCTTCTCGGAAACCTCCAACCGCAGGAGGTTTTAATCTCATGGTTTCACATGCCACATTCCATGTATACTTCATGCTCTGAATATCTTTCCAATTCAATAGCTCCCCTTTCCTTTTCGATTGTGCTATCTCCAATTGTTCTAGCGATCAACATAGCTTATCAAAATGCGTTTTTAAGATGGTTGCAATACTTTGACATTAACATTATACATGTGTCTCGCTTAAATGATTGGAAAAAAAAGGGCTTAATTGGTTAACTAATTAAAGTAAATAATAATGAGGGTGAAATAAAACTAGTGCATTAGTAAGTGCACTGCTTTCAGTAAAAGTTATAGATTTTCATGACAAAGTTTGATCTATTAATAAGGTTTTGGGGGTCACTTTGAACTTTTGAGACTAATTTGGGGTCAAAACACTTAAAAAAAAGTATTCTATCCGTCCTTTAATACAATGCCTTTTTTGAGCATTTATTCCTCACTTAATAAAGAGAAAGAGGCATTATATTAAGGGGCGGAGGGAGTATTGTAAATACCTCATTTTGATAATTTCACCCAAATCGAGGCCATTTTTAACTTGCAAAACGAGTTATTTTCAATAAATTTTTTTTTTTTCAATTCTGACCTCAAATTGATCTAAAAAAAATCAAAATGACCCCCCAAAACCTTGATATATAGACCAAGTGTTAGCACAAAAATGAATATATTTATTTTTAAAAAAGAACTAAATGTAAAATAGGTGGTGATTTCTTAAGTTTTTTACTTTAAGGAGTAGTTATTTAAAAAAAAAAAAAAGTTGGTAAAAATTTAATTATTGCAAGTAAGAATTATATTACTTCATACCTTGTAAGACTTTTGCATAAACATCTGGATATTGAGCAAGATAATCTATTATAAATGTGATCAAAGTACTTGTAGTATGAAATCCTGCAAATTGGAGACCAATTATTAGACCCGCTATTTCCTCGTCGTCAATAGAGTTGAAATCTTCTTCATATGAAGCAATAAGCAGTTTACTCAACAGCTCTTTGCCAACGATTTCGATATCCACATTATTTTCCTTTGCTGATAATATTTCTTCTCTCTTACTCCTCATTAGATCCATAAGCTTGCCTTTAACAATCTTCGACGCCTTCAAAGCCTGGTTATAGGATGTACCAGGCAAATTTACTGGCACCGAAAGAACCCTCTCAGCCAAAGTGTAAAAGGGTTCGGCGACTTCCCTTGCTAGATCTTCGTTTGAGCTAACTAAAAGATGGACATCATTAGATAGAGTGAAGTCTTTCGATAAAGGTTGGACCTTAACTTCGTTATAAGGAACCCAATGCTTCTCCAAGTGCTCGCTTGCCCTTGAATGCATAACGCCTACACAATCTTGCAGGGATTCGAGTCTAAGGAAGTTGTGTAAGTGCTCCATGAAAAATCTCCAATGAAGCGACTTATTATCAACATTAGTTAGTGAAAAGGCTCTAGCAATGCTCTTTGGTAACCAATTCGTAAATTTATTTTCATTTGAATAGATGAACTTGTTACCTCATGGACCGCAACAAAAGACCACGTTATGCCCTGCAAAGGACGTTTGAAAGATGTCCGGAGAGTGCTTTATCATCCGGTCACGTACAAATTTAGCAGGGTTTGAACTGAATTCCAAAGTTTTACCAAGTATCGGCCATCCAAAATTACCTGGAGGATGGTTTGAAACACGGCCATTCTTTTTGATTTTATTAAAAATTAATAGGGTGAGGATTGTAAGAGCACCAACACCTAACAAATAGATTGAAGTCATCCTTTAATTTGGACAATGAATGCTAGCTCTTTGTTAACGGAGTTGGACTTTTGTTTTACTTGTAATCGGTGTGAGGAAGATAATATGATTATATAATGTTCTTGGGCTAATAAAATACTACATATCCAATTTCGTATGTATATTTAAAAAACTGGAATTTGTTTTAAAAATCGGTTACGTAAATCATGAAGCAACAATTTAAAATTACCTATTGACTATCGCTTGTTTTTTTTAATAAAGTTTATTGATGCTACCCACCTCTGATCTAGTATTTGTTGGTTAGTAGTTCTTGATCGATGACTTCACTTTATGTTAACGACCTTAACGTGCGAGTCTCAAATCACGTTATTGATTAGAGTTATAATTTTTTTTTTTTTTAGTCTTCAGTTTTGGATGTCACGCATACAAAGAATGTGTATTGGCTATCAACGTTTTGGTTTGTAGTTAGGTATAAGGTATAGGACTGAAATGAATACATAATATCCATACTCTTGATGTTTGTTTAAGAAAAATCTAATTTGTATATATAAACCTAAAATCCACACGGTATGAGGGTATAAGGGAAGATTTGGGTATAACTCATACAACACCTCTAAATAAGAGGAAAAAATTGTTCTCGGTCAACAACTAACCATATATAGGGTATTAATAAACAACTTTCAATTTCAACCTCACCTTAGTTTCATTATTGATTTCAAAAATATATCACTTTGTAAACCAAACGCTCTCAGATACTAAGGATCACTCTTGTAATGTTGAAGTATAAACTTCCCAAACAATACATGCTGCCATATGGATTTGGAATGAAATCTCTTTTGGTCTTGTGAATTGGACTCTATCTTTTGGTTGTGGTTGCGATCCAAGCATGTATTTAACATGCAACTTAGGCCCCGTTCACATTAATTTATTTTTGAAGAACTGATGAAATTAATTTTATAGAACTGAAATAATTATTTTTAGATCAATCTACAATCATATTGATGGATCGAAGAGGGTGAAGGGTGGCGACTAGCTATTTTCAATGAGTCACAGGGGTAAATGATGAAAATCGACCCCAGAATCTCCTGAAACCGGAAATGATGCTCTGACCACTTGAGATAATCCGCACTCTCTCAATAAAAATAATTCTTCAAAATGCATACTAAAGCTGGCGCTGAAAGTGTAGTAGCAATATCAAAGAGACCGGTCATCTATAAAAACCGATCACTTTGATCTTTTATAATTAAAGAGAACGGTTATCTTTTTAACTGGTATCTTAAGTTATCTCCATTTTTATTTCTTGCTTTATTTATATCTTTGTATGTGTTGTGCTGCTAATTTTTAAATTTTTCCCTAAAGCTTCTCAATTAAGAAAAAGAAATCATAGAGTTAAGTAATACAAGTAGTTTTAAATTACCATTTGTTTTTTTTTTTTTTTTTTTTTTTTTGAACGGCAATTACCATTTGTTTGTAATATGTTATTTGTACTACTTTCGACTTGTAAGTTGGAGTTTTTATTTATTACTATTCGGTTAGCATGGATTTGTGTGTCCTATTTTTGAATTGAAATCAATTTGGTTATAATATAATTTTTGGAGTGAATTTAATATGAACTAGATTTGGGGGAAAAAAATCGTACTTTCACAAGTGATGAATAATTGATGGTGACTCACATCTCAAAAATCCCGACCCACCACTAGAGGCGAAAACCATTTTTACTGGCGATCTCCTCGAAGGTTCTTGTATACAACCTAGTTTCCTCCATACAAGCTTCTCACTAAGAGCACTTTGAGGGTTTGGGTGCATGGTTTTTGCTCGACGGAGAGTATTATGAAATCTCAATTAAGGGGGAGATTGTTAAGTTGCAAGTGTGAGTTGTTGTCCCACATGGAAAAATTAAATAAGAATCACTAGTTTATAACCTAAGTGAGCTACTCCTTATGCCATATGGTTTAGAATGGAACCTCACTTGGGCTTATGTGTGGTCTTTCCTCTTCTCTTCCCATTTCTTAGACGTCGTTGTGTAGCATCTGTATTCCAAACTCACCCTTTATTTTAGAATAAAACCTCACTTGGGCTTATGTGTGGGAGTATTCCGAACTCACTCTTATATGGGACCATTGGTATTCTGTGCACCATGGTGCACAGTAAACTACATGCTCCAGCCCAACACACGGACCAATAAACACAACCCAAACAAAAAACACGCCCAACCCAAACATCATGTTTTCGGTTTTTTTTTTTAAAAAAATAACCGTTCTAAACTTCCTCCTTCTAATAAACCGGCACTTTATTTTTTTAATCATTTTAAAACATTCTCTCTCTTCTCATAAATTATAAAGTTTCATCTCATAAATTCATTTGCATTTCTCTTTCCTCATTTCATTTTTCTCACTCAATTCTAAATTTCTCTCTCTAAAAACTACTACAATTCCATGGCGAATGAAGAAGATTCACCGAAAACACCTTCAAAAAGGTGAACATCACTCCAATAACTTTGATTTTGATTCAATTTTGATAAATTTGTTAAATTATTGTTGTTTTAATTTTTTGAAATGTTAAATCATCGATATAATTTTGTTTTTTTTTTGTAGAAAATCAAAACTAACTCCGTCTAGTGATGAAGACGAAGATATGTAAGTGATTTATTGTTCTAATTACCAACAAAATGAGTAATTTAAACCCTAATTTTTAAAATTGAAAATTAATTTGAAACAAAATTGTGTTGAACAGGACATTAAGTCAGATGTTCAAAATGAAAACACCAAAAACGAAGAAATTAGAAGATATAAAAGCAAGTCCAATTGTTGATCTAAAAATATTGCAAGAATTAAACAAAGAAATTTCAGAAAGTCCATCAAACAGGTATATTTTGAATTTTTAATTCACATGTTTCCTGTTTAATGTGAATATATGTTATTTTTTTGAAGGAAAATTCTAAATAATAAACTGAAAAACCCACAATTGTGTATTTATGTTTGTATATTTGCTTGCATGTTTATCAATTTTAATTATGTATTGATATGTTTTTGAACAACCCTTCAAACTCTTTTGAACAACAATAAATAACCACTGAACATATTTCATTTCAGTTTGTATTGGAATAATTGATAATATTTAATTATTAAGTTTTCAGATGAACACCCTATAAAAAAATTTTGAACAATAAACAACAAGCACTGATCGAACACCCCACAATTCTATATATATTTGATTGTATATTGATATATTGTGATAATGTTTGGATATTTTTTTGAACAAACCATGAAAAACATTTGAATGACAAAAAATAATAACTAAACACCTTCAAATTTAGGTTACTTTACATTAAAATATTATTATGTTCATATAAAATTAAATTTGGTTTATTGTCAAATATTAATTAGAAATAATATATAAAATTTGGTTTATGTTCATATAAAATTTGGTTTATGTTCATATAAAATGTTAATTTTGTTGTTATTTTTCTTTATTAACAGTCCAACTGCTGGAAAGCACCCTAGCTGAAACATCTGAACAACATCCTAAAACTTCTGAACTCTGGAAATTCTGAAAAACCTCAACCAACTTATGTACTCCAATTAGAAAGTTCTGAACAACCCATGGGAACTTCTGAACTCCCATCAGGAAATTCTGAAAAACCTCAACCATCTTCTGTACTACCATCAGAAAATCCTGAACAAAATCAACCAAATTCTGTACTCCCATCACAAAATATTGAACATCCTAAGGAAATTTTTTTACTCCCATCAGAAAATCCTGAACAACCTCCAACAAATTATGTAGTCCCATCACAAAATATTGAACATCCTAAGGAAACTTCTGTACTCCCATCAGAAAATCCTGAACAACCTTCAACAAATTCTGTAGTCCCATCTGAAGAACAAGGAAATTCTGAACAAAGAAATTCTGAACAACCTACAGGAAATTCTGAACCAGATGGAAGCAATGGTGACAATGCTAGTCAGCCCACGCCAAGGTAAAATGTTAATATATTTTTTGATCATTTTATTTATAGCGTAATGTTCATTTAATTACATAAATGTAAGAATTTTTTAACTTAAACTATATAAATGATTAAAACAGGAAGAAAAAACATATAGCTACAAAAAAAAAAGGAAAAACACAACCCCTACAACATTAAGAGTGTTGCGCAGCCAAAGCACCCCAGAAGAGCAAGAAAAGCCTGTTGAAGCAGAGGTAATTCCAGAATCAGATTTTAACATAGCTCAGAAAATTAGAAAAGGGGTTCAAACAAAACAGAAGGGGGTTCAGATCAAAGAAAAAACTGGTGCAAAGGAAGGAGGACAATCTTCACAAAAGGTTATTAAAAAGGGAGTTCTAAAGAAGGGAAAAGAAGTTCAGAAAAAGGTTGAAGAAGTTCAAAAAAAGGAGAAAGGAGAAAAAGTTGAGAAGATTGAGAAAAAAAAAGAAAGAGAAAAGTTGATGATGATGAGCTGATTGATGACAATGTAGTGAATTTGAGTGATGATGATGAGGTTGAAGAAGAGAAGTGATAGGCCGTCGTCGAGCCTACCAAAGATAATAATTCCTATCTTGGTCTCACTAACAATAGTAAGGGTAAGAAAGGGTCGAACCCAAGAGAGGCGTTGAATCAACCACCGAGTACTACCGTTTAAATAAGCTAAACGAATTCTAAATTGGGTTGGTTTTTAGTAACTTCTTCTAACACAATTCAACTAAGCTAAGAGGAGGTTAACAATATTAAGAGGAATCTAGGGCTTGGGTTATACCACTCAACTTCATCACAAATCACAATTAGCATGCAACAATCAAGGTAAATTAATGGGATAAATTAGGGGAAGTCATCTAAAGCACCCAACTACTCTCTCAAGCTAGAGGGATTACTTGAATCATGAATACGACCTACTCTCGTGGTTACATAGCATAAAACAAGTGTTAAAGCATAATCACGATGACATAAACATTCCCTTGACCGGTAATCCCTATTCTCATGGCATTTCGGGTCAATCAAGCATAAGGGAGCTAACTCAAGTTCATCTCTCGATCCTTCGTTGAGAAAGCTTGGATAAATAGTTCTAGCAATGGCCATATACAAGAACTAAGCAATTAAACCACTTAAGCTCAACTAATTAACATCCCACAACAACCAAATTAGCACATGCAACAAGTAATTAGTGACTACATTGAGGGTTTTGCCCAAACCCTAGAATTTAGACTACTCACAATCCATGGGGGTTAAAGCAATTAAAGATTTCAAGCAATTCATGAACAAATTCAAACTAAGGATTAAGCTAATTAACAATCCAAAACATGCAAGAACTAGCAAATAATTAACAACAAAGTAAAGAGAAGTAGAAAAGATGAGTAAGAAATGGTTACTATGAAGCTTCAAGGTGAGCAACAATGGTGGATTTTGTCTTCTACAATGATTGAATTTGAATAATTCCAAGCTAATAATTGAGAACTAACTAATGATTTGAGAATTTAATGTTCTAAGACTACAAACTAAGAGAAAAACTCTGAAAAAACTGCCTCCCCCCCCAAATGAGCTCTCAAGGGGGATTTATATGACCCCCAAATAAAAAGGACGGAGAAAACAAGGAAGGAGTTCGACTGCAGGTCTGCACGGACGTGCCAGATTTGGCACGGACGTGCAAGGCTAAGCACGGTCGTGCCAAGTTTGGCACGGACGTGCAGAGGGGGCAGAATTGAGGCAGAACGTACTGCTAAGAATCGAGCAGTTCCGCACGGACGTGCAGATATTGGCACGGACGTGCAGCTACATCTGCACGGACGTGCTTAATTTGGCACGTCCATGCAGGCCTTGGCAGAATGTTCTGAGTTTCTGGAGCACTTCTGCACGGACGTGCAAAGTCTGGCACGGTCGTGCACCCTCTTCTGCACGGACGTGCCAGATTAAGCACGGCCGTGCAGGCCTTGGCAGCTTGCTGAAGCTTTCTGGAACCTCCTGCACGGACGTGCAAGGTCTGGCACAGCCGTGCAGGGTCTTCTAAACCCCTTTTTTCATCTTTTCTTCTATAATGCTCCTTTCCTTGGCTTCTTTCATCCATCTTCTTGCTTCTAACCTCGGCTTTGTATCCATGGGCTCCATTTGGTCGTTCTTTTGAACCTGGAATCTCAACAAAAACACCAACAACCCGTGAAGCATAGGATACACAAAAATTGCATAATAATAGAGTAAAAATGAACCAAAACGCAATTTATATCAAGTAAACTAGGTTCAAAACACCCTAAAATCGTATCAAATAGCAAGTTATCAAATCCCCCCAAGCTAAGCTTTTGCTCGTCCTCGAGCAAAACAAAAATGTCAAACCAAAGGAGGAAAACAAATTGCTAATCATCAATCCAAGGAGAGGCAACAAGGGGGAAGCATACATAAACAAATCCGCATGGTGACAACCATCATCACTTTTAGCACAAGTGAGAAGCAATTTAAACCTCTATGTCGCCTTAGAGGACGAGTTTTTATCTCGTGAGGGTTTCCAATGAGTTTGCCCCACAACTCACGCAGACCACAACAAAACTATCAAACTACACAAGTTCTGATGTTATTATCACCCAAGTCAACTCATCGAGATATAAATCGCAAGCAAGACAAATGAGCGACTTTCAAGAATTACCAATCATACAAATGTGCACATGAGTTGGGGGTAAAGAGGAGGACTAAGCAAGATTGCACTAGGATACTTCTTTAGACCTTTTACTAGTTCATTAGAGCACACCTAGATATTCCAAAGTTGTAATGAGCCCTCTTTCGGTTATAAAATCTCAAAATGCTAGTCCACCTCCCAAAATGCACACCCAAGGCCCCTTGATTACACTCTAACTCGGGAATTTCACAAGAAACAATAAGCAACAAATTCGACAATGTGTGGGAGGCATCCACAAGTTGACCTCTAAAGAAAAGAAAATCAAAATTTTGAGAATTTTTGGGGGAGTTTTTTTTTTTGTTCTCCCTTCTTTTCTATTTATTTTTTTTTATTTTTTTTTCTCATTTTTTTTACATTATTGCCCTCGCCTCTTTTAACTGTGAGCGGCTCTTTCTTTATTCGAAACGTGTGGCTTATTATGCCACTTATTACACATAATACAAGTATAACCAATTCCCTAATAGAGTTTCATTTCGGGGAGGAAAGGAGGCACATTAAGGGCACAAGGGACCGCAATTCAATTCAAACATAACCTACTTGAGCGAATTAGACAATATCCTATACTGGGTGTGCAATTGAGCATTCATTGACTTTCATTTCATATACACTAATGCAATCAAGATTAATAGACCTCTAAATGACCCCATCTCTTGCATACACCCTTCTAAGAGAACTAGTACTCATCGCTCAAGAGTCAAGCAAGAAAAACATATAAGCATTGTCATTTGAGTCTCAACCTTGGGAATTTTTTTTTCATTTTTCAATTTTTTCATCATTTTTTTTTTTGAAGAGAAAGCGAAAATATTCACATTACTAACTAGAGAGGGAACACTAATATTCACATGACAAGAGGTTTGGATTTCAAGGAAGCTAAATTGGATTAAGGGCCTTGGATATTAGGGAAATGAAACAACCAAAACAAACGCAACCAAACAAACCAACATGTCAAGAAGGCATGCAAATGACTCCCCCCAAGTTATCATAAACATTGTCCTCAATGTTAAGCAATAAAAGCTCATAAAAAAAAAGGAGAAAGAAGACTAACTCAAGGATCGGGTCTTCTTCGACGCTTGAACCTCCTTGGTACCTTTGTTCCTGTTGGTTGTTGTTGGAAGACATGCACTTTGTGCTGTTTTTTTTTTCTTTTGTTTTTCTTTTCTTTTTTTTTTTTTAAGTTAATCCACTACAAAAGTATTCGGGTTGCCTCCCGGAAGCGCTTCTTTAACGTCACTAGCTTGACGACATTGCGCTATCCAAAATTAGGGAGGGTCAAGGCACATCTTTTTGACCCATCTTATTGTTCCCACACACTTGCCATTTTCCTTAGGCAAAATAATCACATTGCTATCATCACTAGAAATGCAACCAAACATCTTGTCTATCAACTTGATCTTGTTTTTCTTTTTCTTCTTGGCCCTCTCTTGCTTTTTCACCTCCGGAGCATGAGTCAATTCATCTTGTGACTCCTCCATGTCTTCTTTCAAAATATTAACCAAAACATCAACCCGATGAACTTGTTTAACCATGGGGTCATTCAACGTTTCCGGAAATGAGAAAGAGATTCTTTCATGCCCAACATGTAAGGTAAGCCGCCCTTGTTTCATGTCAATATTAACACCCGCGGTTTTCAAAAAGGGCCTACCCAATATGAGAGGAATTTTGAAATCCTCATCCATCTCCATGATTACAAAATCACAAGGCACAAGAACCTTCCCCACTTGAATTGGGATATCCTTCAAGACTCCCAATGGGACTTTAACCGAGCGGTCGGCTAGTTGGATTGACATTTTGGTGGGGCTAATCTCCCCAAGATTTAATCTTTTTGCCATAGAGAGAGGCATAAGGCTAACACTAGCCCCAAGATCACACAAAGCATTTGTTGATTCAAGATCTCCAACCTTAACTGGTATAGCAAAACTACCGGGGTCACCAAACTTCTCGGGAAGCTCATTTTGAGGAATAGCACTTATCTCCGTTGGAAGAGAGATAGAATCACTCTCCTCAAGCCTACTCTTGTTAGAAAGAATATTTTTCAAAAACTTTGCATATGTAGGCATTTGAGACAAAGCATGGAGAAGTGGAATGTTTGATTGAAGTCCTTCCATTTCATCAAGGAACTTAGAAAGTTTCTCATTTAGCTTCTTCTCTATCATTCTATGAGGGAATGGAATATGAGGCTCATATGCTCTCAATGGAGCTTGACTCTTCACTTCTCCCTCATCTCTCTTTGAGGCACCCTCATCACTCATTTTTGACCTTCCTCTCGCCTCCTCACTCACTTCATTTTCAAACTCACTTTCATCTACCCAACTATCTCCCTCATCTCCCTTTTTGGCAACATTTTCTCTCATAATTGGAGTTTCATACCCCCCTTCCATAATCAAGGTGATTGATTTTGCTTGCTCTTTTGGATTCATTACCGTTGTGCTTGGAAATTGACCACCGGGGTTAGAGGTGCACCCAACTTGTTGTGCAATTTGAGATAATTGACTTTCAATCATCTTATTGTGTGCTTGGAGTTGTTGAATTGAGCTACTAACTTCCCCATTGATCTTGATTTGTTGGGTCATGAAGGTTTCCAAAACGGATTCAATGTTGGATTTTGGAGGAGGAGGGGCTTGATTGTATTGGGGTCTTTGTTGGACATTGTCTCTTTGATTGGGGTGGCGATAGGGAGCTTGTTGTTGTGGAGGGGGTTGATTGTAAGGAGGAGCTTGGTTGTAATTGTTTTGAGGAGGGGGAGCTTGATTGGGTTGTTTCCACCCAAAATTTGGATGTTGTTTCCAACCTTGGTTAAAAGTTTGGGAGTAAGGATCATTCCTACCAAGTGAAGCCACATGCTCCGTTGTAGTGTTGCAATAGGATGCCAAGTGGTCATTTCCTCCACAAGTCTCACAAGACATGACTTGTGGGGAGGAGCTACCGGGCACATTGTTCACTTGATCTAGCTTTCGAGCTAACATATCAACCTTTGAAGCAATAAGATCTATTGCTTCAAGATCATGCTTACCGCCCTTCTTGGGTTGACCTTGCCTTTTATCACCTCCATAAGCATAATGCTTAGCCACTTCCTCAATCATTTTGTAGGCCTCGTCAACCGATAGCTTTTTAAGGCTACCTCCGGCTCCCGAATCAAGGTTGGCCCTTGAGGTAGGAGTAAGACCATCATAGAAGCTTTACACTATGAACCATGAGGTGAAACCGTGGTGAGGGCATGCTCTAGTATAATCTTTGAACCGCTCCCATGCTTCACTCAAAGTTTCATCAACCTCTTGGTTGAAGTTTGTGATCTTCCGTCTTAATTCAGCGGTTTTCTCGGGAGGGCAATACTTCCCAAGAAAAGCTCTAGTCACCTCATCCCAAGTACTCAACGATCCCTCTTCAACCATTCTCAACCAATGCTTTGCTTTGTCTCGAAGGGAGAATTGAAACATGTGCATCCGAATAAACTCTTCCGAAATGTTGTTTTGCTTGATAGTTGTACACAATTCAAGAAAGTTGTCCAAATGAGCAAAAGGACACTCATAAGGACTACCCCCAAATTGATCGCTTTGAATCATGCGGATGAGTTGAGGTGAAAGCTCAAAGTTGTTTGCATTCGTGGTGGGAAGACGTATGCCACTCCGAAGTTGGAATGCGTTGGGGTGGTCATAGTCTCTTAACAATGGTTGAGGAGGATTCTCTCCCATGTTATCTTCTTCGTTAGCTCCAAAAACCTCTTCCGGATCGGAATCCGAATATACAATGGAAAACTCGGGTGTGCCTTGCAAGAGTCTCCTCACGTTTCTCAAAGTCCTATTTAGCTCTGGATCAACGGGAATAAGCGGTGATTGCTTACTCTTTCGTGTCATGCAAAGTCAAACAAAGCTAAGAAAAACGTTAGCAATGACTATCGCAAGTTAAACACACATAAACAAAAATTAAGGTAAGAAAACTATTATACATATACACACATCTGGTCTCATTCAACAATAATACATTCAATGTGACTTTGCCTCCCCGGCAACGGCGCCAAAATTTGATAGGCCGTCGTCGAGCCTACCAAAGATAATAATTCCTATCTTGGTCTCACTAACAATAGTAAGGGTAAGAAAGGGTCGAACCCAAGAGAGGCGTTGAATCAACCACCGAGTACTACCGTTTAAATAAGCTAAACGAATTCTAAATTGGGTTGGTTTTTAGTAACTTCTTCTAACACAATTCAACTAAGCTAAGAGGAGGTTAATAATATTAAGAGGAATCTAGGGCTTGGGTTATACCACTCAACTTCATCACAAATCACAATTAGCATGCAACAATCAAGGTAAATTAATGGGATAAATTAGGGGAAGTCATCTAAAGCACCCAACTACTCTCTCAAGCTAGAGGGATTACTTGAATCATGAATACGACCTACTCTCGTGGTTACATAGCATAAAACAAGTGTTAAAGCATAATCACGATGACATAAACATTCCCTTGACCGGTAATCCCTATTCTCATGGCATTTCGGGTCAATCAAGCATAAGGGAGCTAACTCAAGTTCATCTCTCGATCCTTCGTTGAGAAAGCTTGGATAAATAGTTCTAGCAATGGCCATATACAAGAACTAAGCAATTAAACCACTTAAGCTCAACTAATTAACATCCCACAACAACCAAATTAGCACATGCAACAAGTAATTAGTGACTACATTGAGGGTTTTGCCCAAACCCTAGAATTTAGACTACTCACAATCCATGGGGGTTAAAGCAATTAAAGATTTCAAGCAATTCATGAACAAATTCAAACTAAGGATTAAGCTAATTAACAATCCAAAACATGCAAGAACTAGCAAATAATTAACAACAAAGTAAAGAGAAGTAGAAAAGATGAGTAAGAAATGGTTACTATGAAGCTTCAAGGTGAGCAACAATGGTGGATTTTGTCTTCTACAATGATTGAATTTGAATAATTCCAAGCTAATAATTGAGAACTAACTAATGATTTGAGAATTTAATGTTCTAAGACTACAAACTAAGAGAAAAACTCTGAAAAACTGCCTCCCCCCCCAAATGAGCTCTCAAGGGGGATTTATATGACCCCCAAATAAAAAGGACGGAGAAAACAAGGAAGGAGTTCGACTGCAGGTCTGCACGGACGTGCCAGATTTGGCACGGACGTGCAAGGCTAAGCACGGCCGTGCCAAGTTTGGCACGGACGTGCAGAGGGGGCAGAATTGAGGCAGAACGTACTGCTAAGAATCGAGCAGTTCCGCACGGACGTGCAGATATTGGCACGGACGTGCAGCTACATCTGCACGGACGTGCTTAATTTGGCACGTCCATGCAGGCCTTGGCAGAATGTTCTGAGTTTCTGGAGCACTTCTGCACGGACGTGCAAAGTCTGGCACGGTCGTGCACCCTCTTCTGCACGGACGTGCCAGATTAAGCACGGCCGTGCAGGCCTTGGCAGCTTGCTGAAGCTTTCTGGAACCTCCTGCACGGACGTGCAAGGTCTGGCACAGCCGTGCAGGGTCTTCTAAACCCCTTTTTTTCATCTTTTCTTCTATAATGCTCCTTTCCTTGGCTTCTTTTATCCATCTTCTTGCTTCTAACCTCGGCTTTGTATCCATGGGCTCCATTTGGTCGTTCTTTTGAACCTAGAATCTCAACAAAAACACCAACAACCCGTGAAGCATAGGATACACAAAAATTGCATAATAATAGAGTAAAAATGAACCAAAACGCAATTTTGTATCAAGTAAACTAGGTTCAAAACACCCTAAAATCGTATCAAATAGCAAGTTATCAAGAAGCTATGTGTTAGAGTGGGACATGTTAAGTTTATGAAGTTTGTAGGTAGCTTAACCCCACAACAAAAACAAGCAGTGCAATAAATGGGATTTGGGGCATTTCTTTCTATGAATTTGCCACAAAATGATGTAGTATTTTGTGCTTGGCTGTTGAAACATTTTCAAGAAAACAGCAGCACTCTATACTTTTCATTTAACAAATCAATGGAGATCAATGAACAAGATGTTCAGATTGTATATGGAGTACCTAGACGTACAAAAATTGTTTCTGAAAAAGAGCCAAAGAAGGCAGAGGAAGAAGATGAAGATTTTGAAATTGTGACACCTTTGATGAGGTGGAGGGAAGTGTTGGGGTGTAAAACTGGTAGCCCTAGAACCCAATGGATTTTTGAGAAGTATGTAAGTGAGGAAGAAAAGAAGATCAAGAGAGATCAGCAAGCTTTGCATAAGAGAAAATATGTCACATCAGACATAGAGTTAAAAGAGAAGAACACAGGAGAAGCAACTGAAATGTTCAAAATAGATTTCCTTGTGCTCGCTGTGAACTCAATGATGAAAACAAGCCAAAACCTTCACTGCCACTACAAATTCCTACACTTAATTCAAGATTGTGATGAAATAAAGGAATTGAATTGGTGCAAGTATGTGCTACAAAGTCTGATTTCCATAGTACCTAAGTGGAAACAAAACACCAAGGGTTTTTTTAAGGGACCACTGCCTTTCTTGTTGGTATGCTTTTGACTTTTGTTATTTTTTATTATTTGTTCATATTGTATTGCATGATGTTCAAAAGTTATACCTATTAGTTCAAAATTAAAATGGCATATGTTCAAAATGTGTTTGCCTTATTATAATATGAATTATACCTTGTATTCTTATGTTCAACGGTTTTGGTATGACTGTTCAAAATTTTAATGTCTTATATTCCTATGTTTGTTTCAAGGTTTTTGATTATGATTGTTCAAAATTTTAATGCCATATATCAATATGTTCAAAGTTTTAAGGTTTTTTATTATGTTTGTTCAAAATTTTAATGCATATGTTTGTTGCATTTTTTTAAAATTTCATAATAGAAATAATGTTTTGGTATGCTTTATTAATGGCACAGTTGTTGTATTGTGATCGAGTGCAAAAAAGAGGTATTGAGCAACCAAGGACATACCCAATCATTTCATCTTGGAATAGAGATATGCTTCAAGAGAGAATGAAATTGGAGGGAAACTCTCAATTTGGATTGGGAAGTTTGTTAGAAAGAATACAAATACCTGGACAGTAACAACCAAAAGTTCAACAACAAGAAAGTGATGATTTGCCAATATTTGAGAATCTGCCAACCAAGGTTCATTTTTTTTTTTCTGTTCAAAATTTATTTCTATTTGTTCAGAGTGTTATGATAAATGTTCAAATGTTTTCATCTAAAGTTCAAATAATAAAGAATACTTTAATACTTGATCATCAAATCAGTTAAACATTCATTCTTTAAATTTCTGATGTTCATCAACTTATAATGCATGTTCAAAATACTGTAAACTTAAGTCAATTATTTTATATTGAAATATGGAGGAATTTATGGATGATTTGATGGATATTGTAAAGACTTTGGGAAGTTGTGTATAAAAAATTACTGAGAAGCTGAAGCTAGGAAAAAACCTGTTCCCTAACAACATGATAATCAATAGTGTTGAAAGTCTTATTGGAAAAAGAAAGAATGATGCTTCCAATTTGAGTGAAGATGAGGCTTTCTTTGGAACAGAGTCTTTCTTGAAGGCTATTGATCAAATTGAAAGAGAGTATTTGGAGAAGAAGGAAGTTGAGAAAAAAGAAACAGAAAGAAGAGAAGCTGAGGAAAAAACAAAAAAAAGAGAAAAGAAGAGCAAGGGGAAAACAGAAGCTAGGGGGATTATAGCATGGAAAGTGCTTTTGATTTGGGAATTGATGATCCTCCAACACCAACACATGTTCAAATTGGAGGAAGTAGAAGTCCTATGGTAAGTGGTGCTTCTCCTATGGCAAGTGGAGATCAAAGGGAAGAAAGTGCTGTTGTTGGGAAAAGTACACTTGACTTAACACTTACCATAGGTAGAGGAGAGAAAGGTCCTAAAAAAGAAGTGGCAGAAAGTGGTGAAAAGGGAAAGGCAAAGGAGGTGCCTTTTGAAATGGCAGAAGTTGATGCACCTGGAAAGTCATCACATATGCCTTTTGAAGACATATTTGATGATGCCACTGACTTTGCCAGAATATTTGAAACCAATGATGCAACACTTGATGATTTTTTGAGGAACCCACTTTCAAAGGACTTTTAATATCAAGGGTAATGTCATTCTATCTGAACATCTATATGTAATTTTTCGGGCAGTAGGGTAGAAAAAAAAAAGAAAAAGATATGTAAATATTTTGGAAGTAATGTAATGAATCTGTAATTTTTTGGACAACTAGGATAGAAGCTGAAAAAGTCAGCATAAATATTTTGGATGAAATCAGAACAAGTACAAATATATATGTATTTATGAAGTATTGAATGATATATTTACTATATTAATTTTCTGTGTTCAAATAATTATATTTAGATGCTCATATGTCTTTATTGTATGTTCAAATCTACAGATCTAAAGAAGAAGCAGGAAAAGAAAAAGAAGTTTCTGAAAAATCAAAGGGGTAACTGTATAAGAACATATATATTCGATCAAAGTTCATTAAAAATTCATATACAGTTCAGTTTCGTAAATGTATAGTTCAAAAAAACTAACAATACTTTTATATTGATACATTAGACCAAAAAAAAACAGGATGTTGATGCAAACAAAAGACCACGAAGAGAAGTTACAAAATTTCCAGCTTGTCTAAAATCCCCATTCATGATTAAATATGTGGATTTGTTCAAAAATGTTAGTGCAATGCAAGCAACTTTATCTGATTATGTATTCAGTGAAGGTCCTAATGAGTAAGTTTTCTAATATAATTTCATTGTTCAAAAATTAATTTACTTTGTTCAGATATTTATTTATATAGTTCAAATAATAAAATGAAGCTTAACTTAATTTGTTATTTTTTTTCTTGTATTGGCAGTGAAGTACTGTACCATGATGGAGAAAATAGTGTCAACAGGGAAGAAATGAGGACACTTGGAACAGATGAAGAGGTCGACAATGCAGTTATCGATGCTTGGGCTCATATTCTGAACACCAAAGGCAAAAAGCATAGCATTTACTTCTCCACAATGCCATACGTAAGAAAATATATATTCAATATTCTTAAATAAACCATATTTAATATTTTTCTACAAAATGTTCAGTATATTTTGTTCAGTGTTCATTATATTTATAATAACTGTTCATTATTTGAATGGTTAATTGCAGTTGATTGTCTGCACAGACAAGGGTAAAAGTGTGAACACCACAAAAGAAGTAAGACATGAGAAGTTTGCAGAAAGATTGAACTATGAAATGACAAATAGTGGTATCACCAACATAAAAAAAAATATAGGGAATTCTTGTTTCCTGTGCTTGCATTTAAGCACTTCTACTTGCTATGTATGAACATGTACAATGGCACAGTTGATTTTATTGATAACAGGAAGCTTCCAATGAATGTCAAAGAATCTACAAAATATGAAGATAATCCTCAAAAAATGGTAAAGTACTAAATTATTTTTTGTTCAATTTGTTCTTAGACTGTGTTCAGTAAATTGAGTTGAGATGTTCAAAAAGTATGTTATTATGTTTTACAGCTAGAAGCTTTTGTGAACAAAAGATTATACAGGAAGTGATATTGCTGGAGTCTTAAGTTTCAAGACTGATTTGATCAAGATGAAATGGAGAAGCAATTTGGATCATAAAAATTGTGGTGTTTACGTGATGAAACATATGGAAACATACACAATAGAGCCTTTGGTAGAATGGAATTGTGATTTGAAAGCAAATAATGTGAGTTTCAAAAATACTGTTCAAATGTTTTCTTTTTATGTTCAAGACATTTTATATAGTCTTCATAATTATATAATTTCGGGGTGCATGTTCAGGTTGATCAAATAAGGAAGCTTAGATTGCAATATTGTTCAGAAATAATATTAAGCCCCACCAACAAAGAAGGATACAGAGTGAAAATGGCAGCAAGAAGAAGAATGGAGGAGAATTAATATTTAGGTTTATTGACATTTCAAGAGACAGTGATTTTATGTAATTTGTTTGAATTTGAAGTTTGATGAAGACAAATGTTGTTTGAATTTTTAATTTGGATTGAGATTGACATAAATATGTAATATTTGTAGTAAATGTTGACATTAACCTTGTGTTCAAATAATAAACTATAGTAGTTCATTTTATAAAATATGTTTGTCAATATTTATTTTGATTAAAAAATTATAACAATAAAATTATAATGCAAAAATTTTCATATATACTGAAAATTAATAAGCATTTGAATATTATTACATATTGAAAACCTATGAAAAAGTGTTCAAATATATTGAAAACCTATGAATTACTTTTCTTGTCAAACATTAATAACATTGTATCATAATTTGAAACATTAGAAAATCCAGAAGCATGAGACCCTTCATTCCTTGCATTGCGACCAACATCAAAATACTAAAAACACAAAAATTAAAAGAACGATAAAAAAAAACCAAAAAACCAAAATTCATAAAAAAAAACAATAATACAAAATAAAGAAGAAAATGTTCACACTTACTTAAGCCCATTTACTAGTTTCATATCGAAAAATTCTGTTATGATTCACTTCAGATACTTTCCTTTTTTTAGCCTGAGAACCACTTGAAACCTAAAATAAAAATATATAGTTCAGATTATAATGTAACACGTTCAAATTAAATTAAAGAAAGTTCAGTAAAAAAGTTACATTTCTTGCAGAAGACTGAGAACCAGTTGCTGGAAAATTAGTTGAAGCTTGATGACCATGAACCTATAGAAAATTAAGGTTAGTTCAGAATTTAAGGAGAATAGTTCAAAAATAACATTTATCAGTTCAATATAAAAATTACATTTGATAAAGGTGGCTGAGTAGCTCTTTAGAAAGATTTTATATTTTTAGCTTGAGATCCACATACCTAAAAAAACATATAATATATACACACACACATGTTAATAAATTATCTTTAAAAAATGTCAAGAATGTTAAGAGTAAAGAGGTTAAATTTACAGAAGAAGGTTGAGCATTTGTTCTTGGAATGGTTTTTGAAGCTTTTGATGCTGATGGCTGAGAAGAATTAGGACCTGAAAAATTATTGGATGATTGACCTTCAAAAACCTACAAAAATAACAAAAGATCAGTAATAAAAAAAAGAAGTTCAAAATATATAAAAGAAAAATCAAGAAAAACATACATTTCTTGAAGAAGACTGAGCAACACTCGCTGGAAAGTTAGTTGAAGCTTGAAGACCAAAAACCTACAGAAAATTAAAGATAGTTCAGAATCTAAATAGAAAAGTTCAAAAACAACCTCAAAAAGTTCAGCAAAAAAATTACATTTCATAAAGGTGGCTTAGTTGTTGGAAAAGAATTTGAAGCTTTTGATGAGAATGACTGAGAAGAATTAGTTGAAGCTTGATGACCAAAAACCTACAGAAAATTAAAGATACTTCAGAATCTAAATAGAAAAGTTTAAAAACAACATTAGATAGTTCAGCAAAAAAATTACATTTGATAAAGGTGGCTTAGTTGTTGGAAAAGAATTTGAAGCTTTTGGTGAGGATGCCTGAGAAGAATTAGTTAAAGCTTGATGACCAAAAACCTATAGAAAATTCAAGTTAATTTAGAATAATAAAACACAAATTCAAGAAAAAACTTAAAAAAGTTCAATAAAAAAATTACATTTGAAAAAGGTGGATGAGTAGATCTTGACATATTTCCAGATGAAGGCTGAACATTATTTATTGAAAAGGTATTTGAAGCTTTTGATGAGGATGGCTGAGAAGAATTAGGTCTTGGAAAATTGTTGGATGATTCACCTTCAAACACCTACAAAATTAACAGGTTCAAAATATAATATAAAAAGTTCAAAAGTATAACAACAAAAGTTCAAAAAAAAAAAAATTAATTACATTAGCTGAAGATTGCTGAGTAGATTTAGTTGAAGGGTTACTATTTTTGAATCCTTTTCCATTTGAAGCTTGAGAACCAGTTCTGAACCCATCACCAAAAACCTAAAAATAAAAATGAAATTAAACATATATAATACAAAACAGTTCAAAAAAGACAATTAAAATATTCAAAAAATACTTACATTTGCTGATGATGAATAAGAAGCATTGGTTGTAGCTTTACTATTTTTACTTTGAACATTCTTTTTCTTAGAAAGTACAGAGAGATTTGGTCCTTGTGTTGTTGGATGTGAATAAACCAAAGGATCTCCATCATCATCTAAAACCTACAAAATTTTAAAAAAATTATAAGTTGTTCGATAAAAAAAAAAAAAAGAAGTTCAGATAAAAAGAAAAGAGGTTCAAAATTACCTCAACAACCAATTTTTGGACAGTAGCTCTGGCTTCGTCTTTGTATTCATCTACTTTCTTTTTCCAACCCTTAGCTTTATTACATGCTTTCTCAACAGTACTCTTTGGCCTGTAGTTTCTCTCACCCTTTTTCCTAGCTATTTTTGGATTGTTTATGAACCCTTCTTCATTACCTTCTTCTTTAGCTTCTTCACCAACTTTAACATCATCAATATGAATTGGACCCATCACACTTTCCACCTTTTCACGTAACATTTGAAAAGTATACTCAAATTCATTTCTTGCTAAAGATCTTCTTGACATGATGTCACTAACTGAACATACTTCCTAACCATTTGAACTCTCCAAACAGCCGAATGAACAACTTTAACATCTTCACGTCTCTTCATCAGACACATGACTACACATAGCCTTCTTAGTCCACCTCTTCACTATATTCTGCTCTGGTATTTTTTGAACACAATGAATATTATATATACGAAGAGAGTGTCCACATAACAACCCCATCTCACTCCAATACTTACAAGTGCAATTGATGTTAAAGGTGAATTTCTCATAAGTAACTTCATGCCTTATAATGTCCTTATTTGGCTTCCAAACATAATAACAAATAGTATCATCATCTTCATGATTTCGCTCTTAACAACATGAAATACCTTTTGGAAAATTGATCCTCAAATACCACATACACGGAAATAGTATAAATCTCCCTAGCGTGTATGAGAAAACTAACATTAGCTACTGCAAGATGACAGTTACCCCTCAGAAAACATAAATCTTGCTTACTTTCTTTACTCCTCCACTCTGATGTAACATCAAGAAAAGTACTATAAAAGTCACTCAAACCATCTGTTTTATTCAATGTATTAGAAACAGAATGATTTTTTGTTTCACTCCTTTGGGATGACAAAACTCCATCCGAAAAATAATCCTTTGAATAAGCAGGACACCATTTCTCTTTGATATCATACAAGTGATTTAACCAATCATTTTCTAAACACTTGAATTTTTTCATCATTCTATTAAAAAAACAAAAGACAAATAAACAAAATGATAAAATAGTTGTTCAAATTACAGCAACAAAAGTTCAAAACATATATCATATTGTTCATATGCACTTGTTAATCATAAAGAGTAAACAGGTTGAAATTAAATAATTATTAGTTCATATATAAACAAAGGTTCATATCTTAAAACATTAAATTCAAATAATTAAATATAATGTTCAAAACGAAATAAATGATATTAAATTCATATAAATGTCTGAGTTCAAATTCAGACATAAAAAGTTCAGAATATAAAATAAATAGTTCAAATAAGATTAAAGAAAGCTTACCTGGGCCAGTAATGTTGAAATTCAGCAGACTTTCACAGTACTTGAGCAAATAATCAAATACTTCTGGAAACCCTTTCAATATTATGAGCCCTCCTATATTGGTCTTTGAATTCTCACCAAGGTGCCAAGTGCACAAACGGTGTCGAGTGCTTGAAAAAATTTCTCGAATTGCTGCAGCAATTGAAGGGGCTTGATCGGTCATTAAGGTTATAGGGTGTCGACATTCTCCCATAGATCTCATAAAAGCCTCATACAACCATACAAAATTGCTGGTCTTTTCATCAAGAACAAAACCCATTCCAAACATGACATTATTACAATGATGATTCATACCAACAAAAGGGGCACAAATCATGCCATATTTGTTGGTTCTATAGGTGGTATCGAAAACCATCAAATCACCGAAGCTTCATAATCCCTTCGTATTCTTCCATCCCTCCAAAATACACTACAAATCGCATGATTTCAATCAACCTCAAACTCATAATAAAAGTCACTCTCTTTGGCTTGTCTTGCAGCAAATGACTTGATCAAAGCATTACAATCACCACCATCTAATCTGCCAGCTTTTTCAGTAGCTAAAGCATTGTAAACATCAGTAACAGTGTAGCATAAATTAGGAGATCCACCAATTTCTTTCCACAAAGCACGAAGAGAATCTGTAACCCTAACCCCACTAGCCTTCATAGTACTTATGAACTTCAAATGCTCACCTTGCATTTTCCTTTGAGACCTAAGGAGATGTCTTTTCTCAACAGGTATCATAGCATGATTATGATCCATATTGTGTTTAACAGCAGTCAAAAAACCTTTCTCATCAATAACAAAATCAATGTAAGCTTCACAACATGTACGGTAATTAATCCAACTTAGAATACTTCCTAGGCACCTTAGAAGAAGTATCCTTCAAACCAGCATTTGAACATACATAATTTCTGCTTCTCCAAACACTTGTAGTACCAACATATCGAACTTTCCCTTTCCTAATATTAAATCCATTCTGAAATGCATAATCATTATACATTTCATATGCCTCCGCATCACTGTTGACTTGTTTCCACTGCAATTCAGACTTTTCACTTTCCTTATAAACAAATTCATACTTATAAACTGCAATAAACAAACAAAATGCATAACAAACATTATTATAGTTCAAAAATAAAAGAACAAAGTTCAAATAAAAGGATAAGATGTTCATAATTACTTGTACAATTCTATATTAAAAAATATACAGGATCAAAGGTTCAATAAAATAAAATAAAGATTCAAAAAATAACATGACAGTGTTCATAATATAGTTAAACTACTAATAATACGACTAATACGAATTATAAACAAATAATATTCATAAAATTCATCAAAAAATGATAAAATTCATCACAAATTAATAAAATACGATAAGAAATCAAAATATCTTAAACAAATTCCAGAAGCTAATCGTAAATTGATCAATAATTTAATTAGTTCATCAATTAATAAATTGAATAATACAACTAATTAAACCTAAATCTTATGCAATGTTCAAAATCATATTTGTTTAGGGTAATTTTACCCTGCCACGTGGCCCAATCAGAAGGTGACACGTGTCAGCCCCAGATTGGTCTAAAATGGACCAATCCCTGCTCGACACGTGTCATTCCCAAAATTAAGGGAAAAGGCAGCCTTCAGGCCCAAATCCCGAGAATGCCGCCAAACGGCGCAACCCACCAATGATTAGGGTTCAGTAACCTAATCAGGGGCACAATTCCCAAAGACCCTATAAATAGGGAGATGTCCCTCATTTTGAAGACACGTTTTACCATTGATTACACATTTTACTCTTTGATAGAGGCATCCTGAGCTTGGAATCCGAGCAGATCCCCACCTAAATTTCCGCACCTTTTTTCTCCCTTCAAGTTTCTAACTTGTGCGTCGGAGGCGGAGCACCACCCAACTGGTGTCTCCGTTTGTTTTGCAGGTACAACTCACCCAGGATCAGTCTTCGTGTTGTAACTCTCCCGAGGGACAAAAACACCCAAAACATTTGGCGCCGTCTGTGGGGAGAGTACCTCGAAGATGGTTCAAGAGTCTGTACCACCCCCTAACCGTCTGGGCGAAGACCCAGAAGTCTTTAGACCATGAGGAGGATGAGGATCCTCAGGTCGAAACCTCTACAGCCGAGGACGGCTCTCTCAGAGTCAAGCGCATCCGGCCCAGAGAGACTCTGGAGCGGGGCGCCTCCCAGGCGGGTCCGAGCAGACCTACTGGGCAGCCGGAAGGGGCAACCCAAGCGGCAGCTGGATCGGCCCCTGTCACCCGAGACGAACTCATGAGGTTCATGACGAGTTTCAAGGGTGAAATTACAAAGCTGATCACCAAAAGCCAGGCTGGCCCAAGTAAAGGTCAGTCGGCGAAGAAGACTCCTCTAGAGAAGGGGAAGTTAGTCAGAAACAGGCAGCCCACTCCTCACCCAAAGGAGAAGGCAGCCGGGACCATCGATTGGTCAAAAATTCTCCTTCCTGGGGGGAACACCAATAACCCTCGCCGGCCTCATCAGCCGGTGAGAAGTAAAAAATCAACTCTCGATGCCCGGGAGATCATCAACCGGAAGAGAAATCAATCGCTACCTGAGTCGGCTTTAACGTCGAACTTTCCAGACAGCTTCAACAACATCTCTGCAGGGAGTGCACCCTCCTTGCATGAGAGCCAGACAGGCGGTAATACCGTCCATTCTGGCCCTCATATGATTGGAGCCGTCCCGTACGTGCCTACTCAGGCTTATGGGCAGTATCCTCCTCACTTCATGCAGTCGGCCTTCTTTGGGGGTCAGGCGGCATATCCAAATGTCCAGCCATTGGACTGGCAGCTTCGCCTGCTGCGCCTGGGTGAACAACCTTCTGCGTTCACTCGGGAGATAACCGAGGCGGCTCAGCCGGCCAAGGTTAAGAATGTGTTGGTTGGTACCTATGATGGTACCACCAATCTGGAAGACCACCTCATGGCTTACACCAACCTCATGTATCTGCAGGGGTTGGATGATGTCACTTGGTGTCGATGCTTTCCGGCTACATTGAAGGGCATTGCCCAACAATGGTTTGGCAACCTGCCAGCCGGGTCCATAGACAGCTTCAGGAAGCTTGCCTTCCTGTTTGCTTCCAACTTCTCAATGAACATCCCTGCTAAGAAAACAAGCCTTGATTTGAGCACTGTTAAGCAGGGAGAGAGAGAAGGGTTGCGCTCATATGTCAGGCGATTCAACCTGATCAGAATTCAGATTCAGGGACTGTCTGATGAGGTAGCTTTTACAGACTTTTTTAAAGGTCTGAGAGACGGGTCGACCTTTAAGTTCGACCTAGTCAGAAAAGGGGCTTTCACCCTACAGGCGGCCCTGAGGGAGGCGGAAAGCTACATTCAAGCTACCGACCTCTGCTCGCCTGGTAGCCAGTCGGACTCCAAGAAGTCTGACAAACAGAAAGACATCCGGTCAGCTCAACCGGCTAAAAACAAAGAAGAGAGCAAGAAAAGAAAAGAAGTCTGGGCGGTTACTGACTCTGACCAGCCGTCCCAGAAGAAAAAGAAAGAATTTAAACCGTACGTCCCCAAGTACGAGTTTAATAAAGACTGCAACTCCATCTTCATGGAGGTAAAGGACCGGCTGTCCATTGAGAAGCCGAATCCTATGAAGAAATTTGTTCAGACACGAAACAAGAATAAATTCTGTCAGTTCCATGAGGAGGTCGGCCATGACACCAACGACTGCTTCAGTCTTCAGCGTACGTTGGACCGTCTGGCTGACAAAGGGCTGTTGAAGTCCTACATTTCTAAGTCCACAGTCGGGGCAAAAAATAAAAACAAGGGCCAGTCCTCCAAGACTACCCCCCAGCCTGCTAGTAGCTCGGATACCGATAAGGAGTCGGTCTACACTATAGCAGGCGGGTTCTCATGTGGTGGCCCTACCATCCGGGGCACCAAGAGCCATCTTCGAAAGATGGACAAAGATGATGATGAACAGGCAGAAGCCAGCTCCTCCTTCCCAGACGTCTTGATCACTGAGAAGGATAGGGGCAGCGTTCGCCGCCCGCATGATAACCCGGTGGTCATTGAATGTAAGGTTGCCAATCAGCTGGTTGGACGGATCCTTATAGACACCGACAGCTCATCAGACATCATCAGTCTCCGATGCTTGCAAAAGCTGAAATACAACGTCAGCAGCATGCATCCGGTCACCCACCCCTTGGTTGGTTTTGGGGGTGGGATGGTCTACCCAGCCGGGAGAATTGACTTACCTATCCGGCTGGGAGGTAAAGGCCAGGGACGACATATTGTCGTCAGATTCTTGGTCGTTGAGGAGTTGACCGCCTATAACATCATTCTTGGCAGGCCAACCCTCAACGTAGCCAAGGCAGTAATCATCCCTTCCCTCATGCTCATCAAGTATGAGAGGGATGACGGCTCTGTTGGTTCCTTGAATGGGGATCAGAAGACGGCCCGAGAATGTTATCTCTCAGCCGTCCGAGATACCGTGGCCTCAGGCGGTCAGGAACCAATAAACCTTGACAACGTCAACGATGCCGATCCAGCTCCTGCCCCATCAGCAGCCGGAAAGAAAAGAAAGGCTCCTCTGCTGGTGGAGGTGAAAAAAGAGAAAAAATAGCAATCACTGACCGGTGAACGGTCAGATGAGCTCCGTCCCCAACCGGCTGGCGAAAGCATTGATCTCATACTGGATGACAGCCGTCCAGAACGCACTGTTAAGGTTGGGACGGTTGCTCATGCTACCTTAGGTGCAAGCTTGCACCTTCTGTTGAAAGAATTCAAAGACATTTTTGCCTTTGAAGTGGAAGAGATGCCAGACGTCAGCCCGGATCTTGCTGTCCACAAACTCGCCGTGGACCCCAAAAAGAAGCCCATCCGGCAAAAGAAAAGAAATCACGGCGAGGAAAGAAGTCAGGCGGCAGCTGCCGAAGTCAAAAAGCTGCTAGACGCCAGGTTCATTCGGCCTTGTAATTTCCCCGATTGGGTGGCCAATGTGGTCCTTGTGAAGAAACCGAACGGGACCTGGCGCATGTGTGTTGATTACATAGACCTCAACAAGGCGTGTCCAAAGGACAGTTATCCGCTTCCAAAGATCGACAGTCTGGTCGATTCTACAGCCGGTCACGCCTTGATGAGCTTTATGGATGCCTACTCCGGCTTCCATCAGATACCCCTGTGGAAGAAAGATCAAGAGAAGACGGCCTTCGTCACTGATCAGGGGCTATTCTGTTATACTGTGATGCCGTTTGGCTTGAAAAATGCGTCTGCCACTTTCCGACGGAT